ATTATTTTAGATTGATTTATTTTAAGTCGAACATGCAGGGAGTTAAGGTTCAGATTCCCGAGCCAGGGGCTCGTGTTTAAAGTTTCGACGCCAGATGGCATTGAATTTTGCAGATGGAGAAAAACCAAACACCAGGAGGAAAATCCTCGGAGGACAGGAGAGAAATGGTACATGACACTGAGCTTGCTTGTCATTTTTAGTAAAGAAACATCTAGTTCAGTTCTCTCGTAATTTCTTCATCATTTCCAGGGCTTCGTACCCTTTCCTCTGGTCTTCTTTTTCGGACTTGTGTATCTTTTCTTGTGCAAGTTTCTCAAGCGGTTCATAGGTATATTCTCTTCTTTGGTATGGATTATATTTTAGAGATTTCACTAAATAGTAAAACGCCAAATCTTTTGAATATCTTCTAAGAAAACTTCCATATTCTTGATGGAAAAGTGTTTTATACGGAACTGYCAACTGCTCCAGGTTACCATACATTTCTCTGAATTTCTGTTCAGCTTTAAGTAGTTTTGTGTCATCTCGATCACTTGCGTATTGACACAAAAGCTTTGAAGCCTGTTCAAGTGTACCATTTTTGATTCCTCCATCCATACTGTCATTCGAACTGGATGTCTCCTGGTGGTGAGAAGCAAGGGTGAGTCCATAATCCTTCAAAAAATTGGCATATGCTGTGTAGAAGTGTGCTTTATTGGTTTCATCTTGTTCTTCAGAGTATAAAAAGATTTCTTGAAAAAGGATGTTTTCGTCCTCAAGAACAGCAATATCTTTTGTCTTATTGTATTTTTCTCTGTACAAATGGCTTAAAACAATAGCTGATATTATGTATTTTTTGTTGCTAGCCCAGGACTTGCGAAGGCAATCTTCAGCTTCGATGAAGGTTTTCTCATCCGGTTTCATTCTGTACTTTATCAATAGAAGTTCCCCGAGTAATGAGAGCTCCTTATAAACTGCTTCATCTGCTTTGCTTCCGAGAATGTCTTTTAGAATAACTTCAGCTTTTTCCAGTTTATACAGTTGCCATTGTGTAGTGCTGATATAAAATTTTGCAACATTTCGCATAACGGCATGGTTGGAACTAGCAACCTCTTCTGCTCTCTTTGCATATCTTTCGCTTTCAGCACCATTGTCATGCTTGTTAATCTTGGCCAGAAACAATGCATATTGAATCAAAGCTTGGCCATACATTACATCTAGGTATGGACAGTTTTCCAAATTGTCGATAAT